AACCACTGGCACTACCTATATGTGTCACTATTAATCTTCGCCCTTTACCTGAAGGTGCCTTGAACCCTGTTGAAAGTCCATCCAAAAATGCTTGTCGAAAACTTTTTACATTTTTATCTTGCCATACTTTTGTTACAGTATATCCCTCGTTGACCCAAGTTTCGTCTAGATAATAAATATTCCTCCCTTCGTCACGGAATTTTCTAATTGATCTTAAGTAGGATCTTCGCCAACAAATAATTTCATCTTTATCGATAAGAACTGACTTCCTGTTCTGCTTTTCCCAGCAAAAATTCAACTCTCGTAAGACGGCCCATAATTTGCTTCTACTGATTTTTGGCAAATCGTTGTCCTCTGAAAGTTCACTTAAAATTTTGTTTAGCGTTGGTATTTCTTTTTTAAAATAAAATGAGTGTACTTTTCTGCGAATGACATTTTTGAAGAAATCATCTATAACGACTTTTGACCTCCCTGTAGATGATTTTGGGGGATTTACAGTATCTTGTTCATTTTTTGTTTCCTTTAAAAGTCTGTAGATAGTCGATTTTCCAATCCCTGTCATTTTGGAACACTTTTCCACGATGTCGTCAACACTGTTGGTAGGATTTTGGTGTTTCAATGCATTAAATACATTTAATATAATAATCTTCTCATTCTGAGACAGCGCACATCTTTTCACGCGTTTAGCAGGTACGTAATCTGATAAGCTCGACATTTTACCCAAACAATATTATATCCACTGGCACAATAGTCACTAAACACAAGTCGAATTTTACTCTACTGCACTAGCACGTCTTCGTATATTCAGCTCTAAGACTGGATTGATCTGTCACAATACACTGGCTCCTGCCCTATGATGTATCCAGTAAAATATACTAATGTACACCCATTACCTGTTAGCATTAGTGTTACCCGATAATTACCTGAAACGAAATATTACCACGCCCATGGCCGGTTCTTATCTCGGGGTTTTATTACTCTCTTTCATTTCCAAACAGACTATAATAGAATATTCTCAACATACGAATATTTTTTTAAACCTGTAAGTTTCTGATTTTAACAATACAAATATGTTCGCTTCAGTAGTTATTTCTAGATAGATTTCAATCATGTAAATTCCATCAATCTTCAGGAGTTCCGCAAGGGTAAACCCTGGGGCCACTGTTGTTTGTTATTTTTATTAATTACTTAACTGAATGTCCCGATGTCAACTATTTACTCTATACAGATGACCTGGAGTTGTTCGTGGAAGTTAAATCTTCTACTGATTGTACTATATTACAAGATAATTTTGACAGATTACACAGTTGGTGTTCATGTAATCTACCTCTGGATGTAAGCAAATGCAAAATTTTGTCTTACAGTCGACGCAAAACTAATGTAGATTTTGATTATAAAATTGATGAATCTTTTTATACAGGTTGTTCCTAAATATCATATACATAAGGGAGAGGGTAATTCTTTGGCTTATTTCATGACTAAAAGTTCATATAAACATAGGTCCGCAAACACTTCGTTACCGATCTACAGGGAGTTGAAATTTTAAGATTTTTTAAATTTTTTCTCTATAGCTCCCACAGTTTTTGAGATATTTAGTTCAAATTTGGAATATAAGTTACGCTGTAGAGCTTACATCATTGGGCATTCCAAATGGTCATGATATTCTACAGAGTGATATTTTTTCGTGGTTCATGCCCCCTTTTCTTCCCCTGAACTTTTGTGCGGTGCGCCGCTGGTAGATTCTAAAATCAAAATTGAATTTTATGTTTTGTTGAGAAACTTTGTTGCCCCTTATCGAGAAAAAAATAAAAAACGATTTTATGTAATTCGTTAGATGAAATTTAAATTCTTAAAATGGTCCAGTAAGCTTTGGCTTTATTTAGATAATTTCTTGTTTCTATTGATTTTCACAGTTCGCATTTGAAATCGTAACTTGGGTCTGCATATGTTTAAAAATGAAAGGTTTATGTTATAAACTGTAAGGTGTAAAAGTGTTTTAAATACTCATTATAATCTCACAACAATCCCAAATTTTATTAATTTTGAAATGGATATCCCAACTTTAATTTTACAGCGAATAAACTATCAAAATTAATATAAACAAGAGATTATCTAAATAAAGCCAGAGCTTACTGGACCATTTTAAGAATTTAAATTTCTTCTAACGAATTATATAAAATCATAAGAGGCAAAAAAGTTTCTCAACAAAACATAAAATCCAATTTTGATTTTAGAATCTACCAGCGGTGCACCGCACGAAAATTCAGAGGAAGAAAAAGGGGCATGAACCCCTAAAAAAATATCACTCTGTAGAACATCACGACCATTTGGCATGTCCAATGACAGCGTAACCTATATTCCAAATTTGAGCTAAATATCTCAAAAACTGTGGGAGCTATAGAGAAAAAACTAAAAAAACTTAAAATTTCAACACCCTGTAGATCGGTAACTAAGCGTTTGCGGACCTATGTTTATATGAACTTTTAGTCATGAAATAAGCCAAAGAATTACTCCCTCCCTTATGTACATGATATTTAGGAACACCCTATATAGAGTTACACAATTTTCTGACCTTAGTGTTACATCTGATACTAGATTATCGTTTGACGAGTACATTAGTTTAGTAACCAAATCTCTTCTAAGGATTTAGGCTTTATTTTGCGTAATTCTAAGGACTTTCAGAACTTTGTAAATATATTGTATGCAGCATTTGTACGTTGTAAACTTGGATATGCATCGGATGTTTGGAGTCCCATTTATAGTATTTGTAATATTCAATTAGAGAAAGTACAACGGAGATTTTTAAAGAGTATGCAATTTATTAGTTATGGATTTTATCCTCCTCAAGAATTATTGCTTACTTGTTTTAATTTTAATAGTCTCTGTCGTAGGCGAAATTGTAAATAACACTTTGAATGCAGACTCGTTAGTCTCAAGGATCATGTTGCTAGAATTAATTCTCGATTTCCCTCTGCTTTACAATTACCCACACATCGTACCAATTTACTAATAGCATCTCCCCTATATCAAATGATTTCCAATTATCAAAAGTATGAAAATTGACCTGATATAATTTTTCATTCTATGAGTAACATAAAAAAATTGTTTGTCTAGCAAATGTAATCCTTATCTTATATGTTAGTTAGCTTATTTGTTTTATTTGACTGTTATTGTTTATACTTAAGTTCTTTTGTGTGAATTTTATATTTTGATTGCTATATTTTGTGCAATACTTATATTTTTATTATCACCTAAGTTCTTTTGTTTGGATTTTATATTTTATATTTTGATTGATCTATTTTGTGTAGTAGGTACTTATATTTTTATATTTAATGTTAGTTTGTCTTTTTCTTTTTAAATTTAGTTAAGGTTTTCTGTTTTACCTTATCCTGTAATTGGGACTTTGTCCCGTTGGATATTGTAATTTCTAAATAAATAAATAAATAAACAAATAAATAAATAAATAGAAGTCAAGTTGGTTCAAGTGGTGTAATTTAGAAAATCATCTCCTCTCGACTATCTCCAATTTTGCTGAAAATTAGTGTGGATGTGTATACATATCTGGAAGGAAGTTCTTCAACAGCAGTAGGACGACAATACACTCATCCTGAAGCTTTCATCCTACAGACCCACGAAATAGTTACGTGCTGCCAAAATATGGCACAAACACAGTGCAATTGGATTTTTGAGCGAGCCACTTTGAGATAAAATTGTGAATCAACTATTGTTTTTTGAACATTCATACTAATTTTTTCTTGCTTACCTGAAAAAATTGATCTAGTATGTCGAATTTCAGCACCATACCTAATCTGGATGAGCTATGAGAGCATGCGAAATTTTCCAGAATCGTCGGACCTCAAGTTAAAAGGACATGCTGCCCCAAATATTTAATATACGGAACTAAAGCTTTATAGAACTTGCTTCCAGATATGTATCCACCCCAATTTTCAGCAAAATTGATGATGGTCGAGTAGGAAGCTCTAGGCCACTTGACTTGACGACCCAATTCATTTCAATTTATTACAAACTGATAACACTTAAATTAAGATATTTTGCAACAATTTTATAATTTTTTCTCAGATCGCCCTATATTTGATGGCGCTAAGTAAATTTCTCCTCATATAGAATATAATTATGCTCATTTTGTTGAAAAAAATATAATAAACAAAAACTAAAATAATTATCTTAGTTGTAATACCCAGCGTATAGAACAATATTTCTATACAGTCTGATTTAAATTCAAACATAATCCTGTGACAATGATGCAGGTTTAGATTAAGACATCAAGTGTAAATGAATTCATAAATTTTATGTTTTGGAAACTATCGAAACAATCACATAACACATGTATGTTGTTGGAATCAGGAACATATACAGATTAAAAATACAGGGTGCTCTATTAAAACGAAACGACTTATATACGGAACTTTTATAGATAATTACCTACAAACCAAGTGACCATAGTGAGCATAGGCAACCATCATTGCATAATAGATACCATTCCTAAATCTTAGTTATCAGAAGTAATGATTCGTTTACAATAAACAAAACAACAATTACAAGATAATGCGATGGTTGACAAAATATCCTGAAAAATTACACCAATCAGCCGGTGAAACAAAATGTTGTGTTTTATAGTAATCTTGATATTATTATCTTAATAATTTTTAATTTTATCAAAATTTAGTTCCCAATGCTGAGGAAATACAGTTACTACTTCAAGCAAAATTAGTGGTCACGTGGCTTTTAATAATTTAAATCATAAGTGATATATGCGACACCCAACATCGCCGAAAAAATATAAACTAAAGTGAAACATATCTGAGAAAGTTGCTGTTAAATTATTGTATATCTGCGCACTATTATTATGGCAGTCTCTATATGTAATATTTTCCTCAATAAACAAATGTTAAACGATCCGCTTTTAACAGGAAAGCTATATCTATAGAAAACGGCTATTTAAAACCTGTTTGCTGAAACATAATACATGGCAAACCTACCTGTCACTCTCAGTTCTATAAATATACTGGTGGTGGGATGAGATGACACCTGACATTCGTAGAGTCCGGCATCAGAAGGGCGAACGTGTTTTATCACTAGTCCCCAGTTCTGGAGGTGTCTAGCGTGTTCCACCAGGAAACGGTCGTCGGCTATGTAGGTCCCCACGCCAACTGTGAGGATTGTTGGCGGAGAGTCCTTCTTGCGGATCCAGGATACCTTAAACAAATAGAAAAGGATGAAATTGTAAATAAAGACATATCGTAAAGCATCTGTAACTTTCTTTTACATAGGCGACATTTTCGTAGGAAACAACGCTTAAAAAAATATCTTATATGATTTTCAATGTTAAAAAGATGCTTTAAAAATTATGGATAATTTGCAGTAATGCAGCAATTAGTTGCACTATTTTTCCAATTAAATTGTATAATTGAGATCAGTGACAACTACAGATAAGCGATTTATGTATTCAAAACCAGATTAATACGGTGTGTCCCACTGTTGCCTCTCGAAGAGAGGGATTTTTTTATTTATATAAGAAATAATTATAAATTTTCGTAGTTCTTAAAACGCTTTAAATTGTTATTATTTTCTGGACTTTATGTAGGACAATCAATTAAAATAAAATAAAGATTATCGAAAAGTGTTATATTATTAAGAATTCCAAAAGGGTAGCAAGTATAAAGGCTCAATTTATAGTAGTTATTACTACGAGTAGGTACATTTAAAAATATGATTCTTATAATTATTATAGAAAGTGATTAGCAAATGGTTATTAATGAAAATCAATTGATTCAGATTAGAACTTTTAAGAGGTCATACAATTCTTTTTGTATTTTGCTGTTTCATTATAAAATCTTATTATGAATTTACGATACATTTTTAAAACAGGATGTTTTTAAATTACTTTAGTCCCGATCATTATTATTATTATTTTCTAACAAAAAAATTTTCAAAAAAATACGAACTAGTTGAAAATTTTATAAAGAAATACATTTCCCTTTGTTTTATATTTGCCAAAAATTTAGATAAAGCAATATATATGCAAAAAAATGTTCCTTTCTCGTATTTTCATAAATTGTATAATAATTATTAAACTTTCCACCTTTTTAGAACATCTGTTTTTCAACGGAATTTCAATTACCTAATAGGTTAATGCATACGAAAGTTAAATCTGAATTAGTTTTATACAAAAATAATAACATATAAAAACAAATTACACATAAAAAAATCATTTATCATTATAATAGCACAAATAAATAAGAAAAATAATATTAAACTTTTTGGTCTTTAACGCAAATGAAATTAGAAATAGTAACTTTTGAATAACAAAAAATATAGTTTCTTTAAGAAAAAGGAATGGATTACTTCTGAAATGTTATTCAACTTATGCGTGCTATAATAACAATGTTCAACTACATACATTTATTTTGTTATGTTATTAATGTTTTACTTATTATTTTTGTATATCAGATTTGGATTTTTATGTGTTAATTTATTAATTAAAAGTATTCTAAAACATTGTAAATCATATTGTAAAGTAAATGGAAGTAAGTACCCAAAATTATAAGACCCAGACTTAGAAAGCTGGACCCTTCCCCTTACACTACGGCACTGGAAACGGAAATGTAGAATTATTACTCTATAGAATTTTTTGAAGCTATCACAAACCACGTTTTGAAATATTTAAAAAATATATTTATTTATTTCCTATTTTTTTTTCAAAAACTACGAACTATTTCGAAGTATTTATATAAACCAAGGTTTTTTTGTTTATTTTTACCTGAGGAATGTCCCCTGTACTTCCTGGAATACCCTGTATGTATATAAAAATCTAAACTTACAAGTCAAATTTCTTTTTATAATGTTGAGAATTACTGTATATGTATAATACTATACTATACTATAATTACCAAAATTATTACGTCATTTCTATAACATTGTTTAAAAATAATGATGAAAGGAATGAATATTGTTATTGGAATATCAAAATTGATAGATTAGACANCTATTTTTTTCAAAAACTACCAACTATTTCGAAGTATTTACATAAACCAAGGTTTTTTGTTTATTTTTACATGAGGAATGTCCCCTGCAGTTCCTGGAATACCCTGTATGTATATGAAAATCTAAATATACAAGTCACATTTCTTTTTATAATGTTGAGAATTACTGTATATGTATAATACTATACTATACTATAATTACCAAAATTATTACGTCATTTCTATAACATTGTTTAAAAATAATGATGAAATGAATGAATATTGCTATTGGAATATCAAAATTGATAGATTAATTCATAAATATAATACAAGTGCTGATAGTACGACAAAAAATAAGAATTTTTTGTCTTATGAACTATATGTCTATCTCCTCTTGTTTTCGAGATACAGAGCAACAAAGTAAAATTTTTTAAATTGAATTTTTACGAAAATTTTCAGACGGTGCAAAATATTTTTATGAAATTTGGTATTCCGGGGTTCTTAAGGATGCCAAATAATTATTTTTTGGATATATCATAAAGGGCTCTAGTTATGCTACATTCCTATTACATTTTAAGTTCTAATTTTTTTAAGGTTAGATTTTTACCATTAGGGCTCCAATTTCTCATGTACAATTTTATTTTCTAAAAATAATGTAGGTACTCTTGTTAGAACTTCCTAATGTGGACGATTTTCGAGAAAAAAGGCTTTCAATTAACCACGGGTCAATTAAGGTCAGATATCACGAATTTTCAAAAAATTACAGATTCGCGGCAAATTTGGTGTACGGGGGTTTCCGTGGTCGCTGATTACGGATCCGAGGTAAATTTTGCAGAATTGAAGATGGCGGATCCAAGATGGCCGAACAAATTTTCAAAAAATAACACATTCGCGTCAAATTTGGTATACGTGGGATTGCGGGGTCGCTGAACACGGATCCGAGGTCATTTTGCAAAATTCAAGATGGTTGATCCAAGATGACCGAACAAATTTTCAAAGAATAACGTTCGCGCCAAATTTGGTATACGGGGGTTTTCGGGGTCACTGATCACAGATCCGAGACAAATTTCGCAAAATTCAAGATGGCGGATCCAAGATGGCCGACCAAATTTTAAAAAAATAACTCATTCGCGTCAAATTTGGTATACGTGGGTTTTCGGGGCCGCAGTTTGTAATAATTTTGTGTAGGTACTTTATAACTTGAGCACCCAATCATGTTTTAACCTTCTTTTTTACGGCTACATCTTGTTCTATTTTCTGTAAAAGATCTATTAACGGGTTTTCTGGCTAATCTGAGGTAATAAAGTAGGTACTTACATAGGTAATTGATTAAATTTTTAAAAACGAATTTTGTAAATCTGATCCCGGATACGTCATCAGTAACCCCGAAAACCTCCGTATACCAAATTTGACACGAATGTGTTATTTTTTGAAAATTTGATCTACCATGTTAGATCCACCATTTTCAATTTTGCACAATTGACCTCGAATCCGTGATCAGCGACCCCGAATACCCCCGTATACCAAATTTGGGCGCGAATCTGTTATTTTTTGAAAATTCGTGATGTCTGACATTAATTGACTAATTGACCCATTTTTTTTAGGTTAGAAAATGAGCCATCAATTCTGACCACGGATTCAGATTCGGCGGGGTTTTAATCATATAAATGAACATCCGAATATAGAAAACATTTTTTTTTGTATTTTTCCTAGCACTTTTCGTGAATTTTTGCTATTTTTTACCTGTGTTTTGAGGTTAGGAAATTCCTGTGATACTGATAGCTCAATTCTGACACTGGATTCGTGATCAAGAGTCAAAAATACTACGGATAACATATGTCGCATAAAAAGTACAGACTACTTTTGGCTGTGTTATTTTCTACAATCGCTTTCCTTATGACTAAAAAATTATTATTTTATTAACTTTTGCTTGTACTTATTATTACATGTTATACCTATGTATTTTATAATAAGTTCCATGTGAAGCGTTTAGTGTAAAAAATAGACACTGCTTCTTTTTGTTTCTTACTATTTATGCAAATATGTACTTGCATATATATTCTTATAATGTAAAGAGTGCAGTGATAAGAAGGCGGTTGTGTCACTTTTTGTTTGAATAAAATTACATAAAAGAGAACCCTAATATTTCCGATCTCTACTAATTTTTAAAATTTAAAATAAGTCGATAAAGTTGAATGAATTGAATATAATTTCAAATCTATAAATCATTTCACGAAAACAAATTCTGGAATATTTTTGTTAGAGTGAAATAAATTTTAAACATAATTAATGTAACCATGTTCGAAAAAATCAGTGGCGTAGGAGCTTTAAATTTTGTAAGAGATAATACCCCTACAAAATTTAAAAGCATTTTAACATTAGGATACGAATCCTAATATTACATTGCTCCGAAAATCGCTAATCTATTGATTTTTTTACGTTTTTCTCTCTTTAATACGTGGAGTGTAACATATAAAATGAAAAAGAATCAGATCAAAGCGCACCCATTTTCGTGTACATACAGCCATGCATAACAAATCCCTTCAATCTTGTCGCTTAAAATATTATCTGGTGGGGTGGTGGAAATGTGAGACCGGACAAAAGAGTTACTGGAGCGAAAGAAAGTTGTTGCTTTTATTAGTTTAGTTTTCGAATAAAAAGGGGATTGTCCGGATATCTACCGAAAAGATTCATCAGCCTAAGCTCCTAAATAGGCTACGGTCGACTCATCCAGACGCTATCTTTCAGAGAGCCTCCTCAAATCTTGCTTATTTGTGTTCCTGAAAGTTCGCAGCACTTAGCCGGTTCTCATCATTCAAAAGGCAATAAATAGATACGATATTGGCTCCTGCCTTTGGTTTTTAATATGTGCTGAACAGGTAGTCCTCGAAATTTGAGCCAGTAATTGAAATTAAGTTGGATAGGTAGGTAGGAAACTCTAAAGTTTCCAACAATATTAATGAATTTTCTCTAAACAGTTTGACCTAACTCATCTTGTGCGCAAGATACGTAGATTCAGAACAGAATCCGCAGTACAGAAATTACTTCTGTACTAAATACTACCAAATACTAAATACTTGTGCGCAAAAATTTTACTTAGATCTGTTAAATATAGGTAGTTGATTAATGAAAGTTTTATACAACGTATTTAAATAAATGGGCATTTGAAAGTGAGACAAGACGAATTTGGTCAAACTGCCATGAGTTGTCAAAACTGATTATCAATATAAACAA